CATTTTCCTATGCCACTTCTCCTCCTCAAAATACTGCCTTGATGAAACCCTTTCCAAACAGATATTTTTTCCTTCCTTTGTACAACACAACACTTTGTAGCACTAAACACATTCAGCTTTGTATTACAGATAATTTCTGCCTCCCCACACTTCATGACTATGCAAATCATAGGACACACTTTAGACTAGACTAGCTTTATTTCCATGACAGTGTCTGCTGTTTATTCATCACTTCAGTATTACATCAGTGACGTATTTTCATTTCCCTCACAGTGTCTTTACATGTAGTATTCAAATATATCTGTTTTGTTTTTATGTGAATGGTATCATGTTTTTCTGTTGTCCTTTTTCATTTAACACAATTCATTTATATTCATATATGTTTGTACCTCATCATTTTTTTTAAGAGAGAGAGAGAAGAAAGACAGAATTTTTTTAATATTTATTTTTCAGTTTCCGGTGGACACAACATCTTTATTTTATTTTTATGTGGTGCTGAGGATCGAACCCAGCGTCCCGCGCATGCCAGGCGAGCGCATTACCACTTGAGCCACATCCCCAGCCCAATAACTCATCACTTTTAATGGTTTCATAATCTAAATGGATATTACCTACCTTATTTAACTATTGATCGACATACGAGGAAGCTTTTAAAAGTTGGCTACTACCAATTTTGCTGCAGTGTGTATCTCTGCACACTTATGCAGATATACCAGAAAGATAGCTGAAGTTACTGGGTCAGGGGGTATGTACATTTTTAACTTGTTAATGCCTAATTGCCTTCCAAAAACATTTATTAAATTTATTTTTCCACCAGTAATATATGAAAGTGATCGTTTCCAAGTCTGACTATTATTATTGGCCATTTTGGTTTTTGCTAGTCTTTTGCACACAAAAAATGCTTTCACTGTAATTTATATTTCCCTCCTTATTAGTGAGGTTAAATTTCTTTTAACTTTCTTTATGGTGTCATTTGTGACTTTTAATTTTTGCATAGTCAAATCTTTAGTCTTCTTACTTATGGCTTCTTAATTCTGTGCCTTAATTAGAAAAGTCTTCCCAATCTAAAATTACAGAAATGTTTTCTTCTGGTAGTTTTACTTTTTTTCTTTACTTTTTTTTCTTTAAGATGAGTTCTAACTTGTTGTCCAGGCTGGGCCCAAATTCCTGGGCTCAAGAGAGCCTCTTGAATAATATAGCTACAGACCTGTGCCACTACGTCCAACTTACTTTAACATTTAATCATTTTCTTTTTGAGTTTTATTTTGGGTTTTAATGAAGAGTAGTTATAGCATTTTATTTTTTTAATTTTTTCCAGCCATGTTGAAAGTTTTTTAGTTGGTTTGAAATGTCATGACAAAAGTTTTATATGTATTAGAATTATTTCTGAATTTTCTTCTTGTCTACCAATTGTTTTTTTTTTTTTTTTTTTTTTTTTTTGGTACCAGGGATTTAACCCAGGGGTACTTAACCACTGAGCCACATCTCCAGCCAGTTTTCTATTCTTTTTATATTTGAGACAGGGTCTTTTTTTGGGGGGGGGGGAATGAGGTTGAGACAGGGTCTTGATAAGCTGCTTAGAGCCTTGCTGAGGCTGACTTTGATAAGCTGCTTAAGTTGCTGAAGCTGACTTTGAATTTGTTATCCTCCTGCCTCTGCCTCCCCAGCTGCTGGGATTACAGGCCTGGCTCTACCAACTGTTTTATTCTTATTACCAAAATTTTATTCTTTTGCATTGTTTCTTAGAATTTTAGAATCATACTGTGGGTTCTATTAATTTTTTTTTTTTTTTTTTTTTTACTTTTGGGATTTCTGTTTGGATTGCATTTTGTTTATGGATTACTTGGGGAGAATACATATCTTTGCAATATTGAGTCTACCATTTTGGACCTTTTACTAAAAGTCTCTTAAATCAAGTTTTTGTCCTATTATAATATTTTATGGCTTTTTCTTCTAGATTATATACTTTATTGCTGGATTTTTATGTATTTTATAGTTTCTATTGCTATTTTAATAGGATCCCTGTTTTTCGATTGTCACTTATAATGTTGTTAGCTGTTAGAATACTAAAACTATTAATTTTGTGTATTTATTTATAACCATCTTATTAGTCTTAATTTTTTAGTTGACTTTCTTGGATTTCCTAAGTATACAATTGTATCACTTGTAAAAACAATGATAGCCCTCCACCCCCATCATTTATGCCTCATTTCTTTTCATTGCCTTACTTAAATAAACTGTTAGAGATCCCCAGGACATCATTTTAGAGTGGCCATAATAGTGAGCATTTTTCTCTAGTTCTTAGCTGTACAAGGAATGCTTCTGTATATTTTAAATTAAATTGATAGCTTGCCATAGGTACCTGAGAAAGGAATTTTATCAAGTTAAGGAAATTTTCTATTTTTTCTCTTATTGAAGATTTTTAATCAAAACTCGATGTTACATTATATCAAAAGCTTCTTTGACATCTATTAAAATCATTTTTTTATGTTGTACTATTCTTGCTTTCTTGGGACAAATACCACATGGTCATGTGTTCTTTATATTACCCTCATTTACTAAATCTTGTTTTATTTTAGAGTGTTTCTTTTTATTTTCATACATATAATAGGCCTGAACTTCTTTTGACCTCTCTTCACTTATGTTTTTCCTTGCTGTTTAATACTTTATATAGATGGTTGGGAGCTAGGTCTGTCTTGAGGATTTGATAATACTCATAAATCTGAGGCTGGTAACTTTAAAAGATGAAATATTCACTACCAGTTCAATTTTTGCTACCATAATCAAGGACTGTTAATATCATGCCCACTTTTCTCTGATCTGAAACAACTTACTAATTTTTCCATTTATTAATGGTAAGTGGAGATAAAATCTAACTCCTGGTATTGTTGTCAAGATCTAATGAGATGATGTGGCCATTTAGCATTGTTGTGGCTCAGATAAATGTCCATCAGTAATAACCACTATTATTGTTACTCCATTAGGTTGATTTTATCTTAGTCATCTCCAGCTGTTGCACAGTATGGTTATATAACCTCCATAGAAAGATAGAGGACATAAAGATTAGCTTATGATCCAGCCAACAGTGGCAGACATAAGCTCCCTCTGACACATGCCTGGTGGGTCTGGATTTTGTGTCTTGGCAGACCTACCTGGCTGGAATGCACCACCTCTGCTGTGTGCCTTGGACACTCCTGCTCTACCTGGAATTTGTTTTCCACATTGGGCATGCTTGCTTACATTAATTTTGAAGATTTTTAACTCGAATGGACAAATAACTTTTTTTACAAAAAAGTTCTTTGATGGTTGGGATGTGGCTCAAATGGTAGCACACTCGCCTGGCATGTATGGGGCACTGGGTTTGATCCTCAGCACCTCATAAAAATAAAGATGTTGTATCCACCAAAAACTACAAAATAAATATTAAAAACAAATATTCTCTCTCTCTCTCTCTCTCAAAAAAAAAAAAGTTCTTTATTAAAAATCAGGATCATAATGCACAATGCTATGGAAAGACAGTCTTTTTTATACAATTGGCCCAAGCATAGTGTGTGATTTTTTTATTTTGACTTTTTAGGAAATTCTTAGATGTTTCATCTCTCTCTTTTTTTTTCTTCTTTCCTTTTTTTCAATATTAGGGATTGAACCCAGGGCCCCATGCATCTAGACAAATGCTCTACCCCTGAGCTGCATTTCCAGCCCCCATTTTTATTTTATTTTGACTCAGATTCTTGTTAAATTGCCAAGGCTGGCCTTGAACTTGTAATCCTCCTGTTTCAGCCTCCCACATAGCTTGGATTACAGACATGTGCCACCAACCCTCGACTTGTCTTTTTGAAAGTAGCATAAAGTAGAAAATGGAGACTTGTTGCATTCTCATCAAGAAGCAGAATATGTTTTTTTTCCAGGGTTCACTACTTCAATAATCCCTCATCTGATATTTAAAATGTATTTACGTTGAGTCATTTCTTTCTCTTTTGCTGGTGAACCAAGAGATCATGAAATGATTTTGCAGAGGCAGTAGCATTACGTTCAGTTTCTTTTTTTGTATATATCAGATAAGAGGCCTGCAAATGGAAGTAAGTCCGACTCACATCCTTTGTATGGTGATGGCAGTGATGTTTGCCTTTTAATCATCGGAGTGACATTTATTAGTTCATAAACCTGCTTCCAAAGAACCTAAGGTCTTTTTGATGAAAGGTGACTATAAAAAGACTAAGAGGTTTTTGACAGGCTACTTTTATTTTTGCAAACATTCTTCTTTTTAGTGTTTAGGAACTACTATCTTAAAAGAAGCTTGGGGGCAGGGACATGCCAGAACCAAATGGAAGTTAATGCTCTCATTTAGGATTAGGATTTCTGAATCTGTAATTAGGAAGGCAAAATAAAATTTTGATTTAAGCTTCTAAATCACCCTCTGTGATTTAGAAGAGCCTCCTTCTAGTTGGAAAAAAAATTTACAGATCTGAGGAATAGAAGCAGCACAAGGGGCCTGGCTTTTGGTAAACCTTAATAATAAGAGAAGAGGAACCAGGAAGTAGTTTCCTGGATTCAGTACTAGTGGAACAGCAAGGTTTTGGTCCTATTTATTTTTTTCTAGTTCTTTTGTTTTGTTTTGTTTTGGGGTTTTTTGTTTGTTGGTTGTTGGTTGGTTGGTTTGGTACTGGGGATTGAACTCAGAGGTGCTTAACCACTGAGCCACATCCCCAGCCCTATTTTGTATTTTATTTAGAGTCAGGGTCTCACGAGTTGCTCAACACCTAGCCATTGCTAAGCCTGTCTTTGATCCTCCTGCCTCAGCCTCCCATGCTGCTGGGATTATAGGCATGTTTTATGCCCAGCTTCTTTTTCATATTCTGTTTTTGTCACTCAGAGTTTTAGGGAATTATTTCATGATATTATGTTATTTTGACATACATTAGTACAAATAATTAGACATCTTTTATATATAGTAGTACATATTATTGTTCCATTAAAGTACCAATGGCCTCTCTTTCCAGAGCAATAATGAAATTTCACAGTATGAAAATGGAAGAAATCAATAAAATTATTCGTGATCTTTGGCGAAGTACCTATCGTGGACAAGGTAATTAACATGGTGTGTCACAAACATTCTTCACAAAGCCTTCTTCATAACTTCTCCCCGTATGATCTCTCATTGTGCAAGTATTACCTCCTTGGACCCCTTTCTGAACATCTCTTTGAGATTTTCTAAGAAATCTTATCTTGAAACATAGCAAAAAGAAAATGCAAAGTTTTCTATTCCAAAGCCTGATAGGACTTACATCCTTGGCTGCAGTAGGCATGATATTTAGCTGATGACATAATAGGTTCTATTGAAGTGTAGATAGAGATAAACCCTGATGCAATAAGAAGAAAACCTGCCCAAGGAAACTCTTAGAGAAGCAGCAGAGGGGTTGGGTATCCAAATTGCTTCTAGCCAGACTGCCAGGATCTTAAATCTTCCCAGCCAGAGAAATAAGTTCAAAATCAGCCAGTATTTTCCCCAGATGAAATCAGCTTCATGTGTTTCTCCTAGGCTTACTTGATGTAGAAAATGACAAAAGGCTGCAGAGGGTAAAGTATTTTACACTAAAGTATTTTTCTTTCTGCATCAGATATTGAATACATAGAAATACGATCTGATGCTGATGAAAATATATCAGCTTCTGATAAAAGACGGAATTATAACTACCGAGTGGTGATGCTGAAGGGAGACACAGCCTTGGACATGCGAGGACGATGCAGTGCCGGACAAAAGGCAAGTATCTGGGAAGTCTGACAGGAAGAGTACCAGAAAGCACCCAGGGCTGTCCTTGATGGTAGGAAGCTCTTTTCAGCATCTGTGGTTACCCTCTCCTAATGCCAACCAACATTTCCTGCAGCATTCTGTATAGTGGCTTTTAAGAGAATTGCCTGAAGGGGTGTAGAGAAAGAGGCTGAACCCATTATCATTTCACAGCATTCCTTCTCAGAATAAGGTCACTCAACTGCCTTATCTACTACTCTTTAATGTGCTACCAAGAAAGAAAAAGATACTTACAACTGTAAGACATATTCTGATTTCAGAGAAGTAAAAATTCAAAATTAATATTAATTATATTAGTAATAGTAATTATACTATTAATCATAGTAGTGTTAACAAGTCAGATTCTAGGCTGAGCCAGATGAGACATTCCAGTAAATGAGAGAATCTTCTTGAGAAAGTAACCCCCATATAGAACCAACCTTCTACCACCCTAGCCTAGCTTCTGGACCCACAGACCTCAAAAAGAGGGCTCTTGTCATTCAATTGCCTTGATGCCCACAGGGGTTTCTGTCACCAGCACCACATACACAAGACACAGTTGTAGGTCAGGCCAGCTGGCTCCACATGAAGTCTCTGGGAGGACAGCCCTGCTTGGATATGGAGCACAGAGCAAAATCACAAAGAAGAATGTTATTTTAAAGGTCAGGATAATGGGGTCTGCATCCTGGGGTATAAAGCTAGGTCCTTTCACTGTGCACAGGTTTCTACCAAACACTTCTCAGATTAGAAGCAGATTATACTTGATATACCTCTGGACCCTGATTTTCATAAAATTTCAAAAAAGAAAAGTATGCCCATATTATCTTAATTACTTCTATAGTTTTTTGCTTAAAGAATATACCATGCAGCTAGGCATGGTGGCACACACCTATAATCCCAGTGACACAGGAGAGTGAGGCAGGAGGGTCGCAAGTTCAAAGCCAGCCTCAGCAATTTAGCAAGGCCCTAAGCAACTTAGTGAGACCCTGTCTCAAAATAGAAAGCACTGGGGATGTGGCTCAGTGGTTAAGTGCCCCTGGGTTCAAGTCCTAGTCCCCCACACATAAAAAAGAATAAACCATGCATGTGTGTATCATCAGCCCAGAGAGCTGATAGCAATTCAAGACATCTGCAGATTACTATCTAAATTGTAGTCTGCAAAAATGACAAATTTATGATAATCAGTATCCCTACTTGCTTTTGTGATTTTTTACTGTTAATTATAAGTGAATTTGAATCAAGATACCTCTAGATTTAAAATGCTTTCAAAATTACTTCCTTTATATGTGCATGATACTGGGAATTGTCCCTATGCATGTTCTACCACTGTGTATCCCCATCCCTTTTTATTTTTTGAGAAAGAGCCTAAGTTACCAAGGCTGGCCTCAAATTTGTAGTCCTCCTACTTCAGCCTCCTGAGTAGCTGGGATTACACGGTTGCCTTACTGCACCCAACTCAAAAATACTTTCTGAGCAAAAATAGATTTACTGTAGATAGTAGTAATTGCTTTGTAGTAGTAATTGCTTTCTTGGCATTGGGAGAGAAGGAAAACCAAATGGTTTGGTGGAGGTGGGCCTCAACTGTGCCTAACACTGGCTTTTGCTGAGGCTTTAGAGGCCATTGTGAGTGGGTGGTAGTAAAGTTGGCAGCAGGGGGATTCAGAGGCAGGAAGGAAGTACCTGTCCCCGAACGGGGAAGCAGTGGCCCTCGTTTCTGCAAGCTGCTGGCCTCCCTGGCCATTATGAGAATGTGTGTACTACTACAAAATCAACTCACTCACAAATTCAGTAGGAGAAAGAATTTGTAACTCACATAAATGTACTTTATATTTCATAGAATAGTCCTACACTCTTAATTCTGTGTTCCTTGTACTCTCAGTTGGCTTTATTTGAGTCTGAGGGTTTTAGTATTAGGTTTCTGTTAGTCATGAAAGTGCCTAATAGTTCTAGTTACTTGGATTTCCTGCAGGTAAGCGTAAACAAAACCACACTTCTATACTCATCCTGATACTGTGACCCATGATTGTTTTTTCCCTCTTACTTTCTCAAAATTATACACACAAACATTTCAGTGTGGACCAGAACACAATACCTGGTACCAAGTCTCTTTGTCAGAAAACCATAAAGGTCAGGTGAAGACTTTTTAAGATCATAAATCTTATATCTTTATTAAAATTATTTGTTATAGCCAAGTGGTAATGCATCTCTGTTGTGAGCCTGTGATTTCAAGTTTTGATTATAGCTGATATGGTTTTTTATTGGAGGGCAGGGGGATGATCAGTGTTGCATTTAGCATTTTATTTCATTGCAAATGATGGGCGTGAGCATGCAGCTGATGGCTCACCTTCCAGAGGGACATAAGAACCTGGTTGCAGGCTGGGCTCTCCCACACAACAGCAATTTCTCTAATGTCAGTGACTTTGTGACATTTACTCACCTTTGCCTTCTGAAGCAATCGTGCCAGTCTGTGGTATGCATCTCACTCCTGGGCTTTTCCCCAGGTATTGGCCTCACTCATCATTCGCTTGGCGCTGGCTGAAACTTTCTGCCTGAACTGTGGCATCCTTGCCTTGGATGAGCCAACAACAAATCTTGACCGAGAAAACATTGAATCTCTTGCACACGCTCTGGTTGAGTAAGTGTCTCACATTTGGGAGATTGTGATAGTTTTGATCAAGAGAGTTGTGTGGGGTGAACTCCACCTAGATGTGTCCTTCTTGAGGAAACCAGTTGGTGACAGACACTTTTGACAGACACGTTTCCTTTTGATAGTAATTCGTCAGATTCCCTTGAAAATGAAATAGTGAAAGCAGCCCCAGACCTGTCCTCCTGTGAACCCACATGTCGCAAACAGGAGTTGGTGTGCCCTGCTGAGATGTTTGTACATGGTGGTAGTGGGTTTAGGACTGTCTCCCAAGCTTTTTACAGTGCATCAAACAGCTCTGAGGAACAACAAAACTCTTATTCAAAAAGCACACTAGTGATTAAGTAGACTGCCGAAGACGAAACTGCACACACCTTTTACCACATTCACCTGTGTGGGCGCAGGCTCCAAGGTTGGGCAGCTTTTGCAAAGGCCCTCAACCTTGAGGTAGAAGGGGATGTTTGGGGGCACTCCCGACTCCAGGAAGACTTTCTGGCAGAGGTGATATTTCCGGCCTGACAACACAGCATGGGCCAGGGGCCCTAAGCAGCAGGGCCATCCTCAGTCTGCTCTCAGTAGTCAGGCGGGACCAGCAAGGAAGGGCTAGTGCTTTAGAAACTCAAGTGCATCCAGCTTCAGGCAAGAGATAAATAACTGGTTTGTCTTTCAGGTCTCAGTCCCAAAGCTGGTTACCTCATCATATAGATGAGCAAAAAAGTGTTCCCAGTGCACCCACTCAGGTCTCCTGTGTGTCATAGAACGGATGCATCTAGTGACTAGTGGTGACAGAATTCTAAGTAGACTCAGCTCTGAAGAAAGCAGTGTTATTCCCCTGTCATCATTTTTTTAAAGAGACAGCTAGCATTAGAGTCAGGAAAATGTAGGGGAAGAAGTTGAGGAGTTGAGGCATTCCTCAAACGCCACCACCTTCTTTAGTAGGAACAACTTTGCGATCTAGAAGAGCAATTCCAAATTCTTGGCCTGGTTCTTACGAGCCCCTAAGGTGGAATCAGCCATGCATCCCCACTGCCTGGACAGGAGATGGGACTCCTGCCTTACGGGCTGAAGGCCCCTGACCACCACCACCACCTCAACTTCCTGCAGGGTAGCCAGAGGCCCTTACATACACAGCACAGGAAAAACTTAGATGCCACATGTAGCAGCAGTTCATGTGTCTGACAAGGTTTATAGTGACTTTTCCAAATTTTTGCTCTTAAATCATAAAATATTCTAAATATATTGTTTCAGGATAATAAAGAGCCGCTCCCAGCAGCGCAACTTCCAGCTTCTGATAATCACTCATGATGAAGATTTTGTGGAGCTCTTAGGACGTTCTGAATATGTGGAGAAATTCTACAGGATTAAGAAGAACATTGATCAGTGCTCAGAGATCGTGAAATGCAATGTTAGTTCCCTGGGATCTTATGTTCATTAGCTGCTTGGTTTTTTTTTTTTTTTTTT